TACATGATCAAGCTTTGGCTCGCAATAGCATTGCTTGGAGGTTCATGGGTTGTTATAAGTACGGTAACTCTAATTATAACCCATATTAGGGGACTTATAACCCCACTTATAACTACCCATGAACCCTGAACCCTAAACCCTAAACCCTAAACCCTAAACCCTAAACCCTAAACCCTAAACCCTTAAAGGAACCCTATAACCCCAATTATAACTACCCATGAACCTCCAAGTAGGGTCCCTCACTCTCCGCGCCTCCTCTGTAGGTCCTTCTCTGCTTTGCTTTTTGTTGAAGGGCCTCGGTGTGTTTGGGCTGGATATAGGGGTTTAGGGTTTAGGGTTTAGGGTTTAGGGCTTAGAGTTTAGGGCTTAGGGTTTAGGGTTTAGGGTTTAGAGCTTTGTGAGGGTTTGGGGCTGTAGGATTTGGTGTATCTTTGGAACATCTGCACCTCAGGTGGCATGTTGCTGAGAACAGGGAAACAAGAAAGATCCGAAGTCGTAGCATGTTCTAAACCCTAAACCCTAAACCCTAAACCCTAAACCCTAAACCCTAAACCCTAAACCCTAAACCTGCCTCTAAACCAGGTACCCTCCCCAGTTGCCCTAGTTGTTCGAATCCTCCACCTGGATGAACTTTTGGGGGGTTTCCGAAAATAGGGGACTCTAATATGGTACCCCATATAGTAGGATCCTTATTATCAGGACCCCAAAATAAGGTACCCCTTATTTTCGGAAACTCCCATTTGGCTTTTACTGTCTGCTCTGTGCAAAAGGCTGTTGCAGACAGACGCGAGCCCAGCGTCCGCTCGTATCCCAGAGCACGCACGGCCCGTGTAACACTTGCGAAAGCTAGACTTCCATTCTGTCGAATGCCCGCAGTTTTCTTGCAGAACTCTAAACCCGAAGCTCTAAACATAAACCCTAAACCCTAAACCCTAAACCCTAAACCCTAAACCCTAAACCCTAAACCCTAAACCCTAAACCCTAAACCCTAAACCCTAAACATAAACCCTAAAGCGCCCAAACCCGAAGCCCTAAACACGACACCGCAATCTCGAAGCCTCACGGCACACCTTTTTCCCAGTAATCCACCTGCAAATGCCCAGGTTTTCAGTTACTTGGCGGTTCATGGGTAGTTATAAGGCTCCTTTAAGGGATCTGGGGTCATATTTGGAGGTTCATGGGTAGTTATAAGGCTCCTTTAAGGGATTTGGGGTCATATTTGGAGGTTCATGGGTAGTTATAAGGCTCCCTTAAGGGATCTATAAGAGGGTCCTATAAGGGGTTTAGAAGGGGTCATATTTGGAGGTTCATGGGTAGTTATACGTGGCGCCATAAGTCCCCTAATAATGGTTATACATATAGTTACCCTACTTATAACCCTACTTATAACTTTAACTACCCATGAACCTCCAAGTATGACCCCTTATAGACCCTTATAGGACCCCCCTTATAGATCCCTTAAAGGAGCCTTATAACTACCCATCCAACTATGGCAAAGACACGGAATGAAGGAGCCACCTTTCAGGCTTGTTGGCGTGCTCTTGAAGTTTCGGGCTTAGGGGCTTAAAATAGCTATAGGGTTTAGGGTTTAGGGTTTAGGGTTTAGGGTTTAGGGTTTAGGGTTTAGGGTTTAGGGGTATCATAAGGCGGCATACGTCTCTATTATTATGAAAGAGTCCCGCAGGGAGACAAGACGTAGAAAGTGGCAAGTGTTGTCGAGTCTTGTATTCGTTCGACCCTTTAGCTTAGTTCTCCAATACCCAACCTTTGAACTTTTTGGGTTCTTACAATTTAGTAGTAATCTGAAAGTTTAACCTTTATTTCCCTGGCTTATTGGGGAAGCAAGCTAAGGCGTTCTCCCTAAACCCTAAACCCTAAACCCCAAACCCCTAACCCCCTAAGTAAGTTGAGGGGTTCTGGGTCTTGGTCCCAGGTCAAGACTTTGGCCACATCCTCCTCCGCCCCGGCAGCTGCCTCAGCACGCCCCGGAGCTGTGCTTCTTAATTAATGTAGAGGCCTTGATAGTAAGAATAGGGTTTGGGGGTTCATTACACTACAAATATAAGTCGTTGGGGTTTTAGCCTTTAGGGTTTAACGTAGGTGCCCAAATAATTACCTATACTCTTTTGGGGGTTCCTTATGATAATCATGGTATAAGGGTCCCCAAAGCCCTATTCTAATTATTAAGGCCCCTACACTAGGCAGATGGCAGGAGTCTCTCAAATACGCAGGTTCCAGAGAATAAAGGACCCGAGACAGGGTCGTAGACCCGAAATAGAAGAGTAAGCAGACCGCCCACATTAGGGTGCCGGGATGTTCTGAAACCACCAAGTATAGAATATTGGAAAGAAGGCACTCGCAGTTCTGTATAGGGTGTGGTCTTGTGCACTTCAGCCCTGGCATTACCACTACATTGCATACATCTACCAGAACCTGCAGCTGGAGTTGTGGTAGTATGTACTGAAGTGTGAGACCACGAACCCTGACCGGTTAAGGGTTCAGCAACTTGTAAACCCTATAAGCCGCAACCAAGACGCTCATGGTTGGGGGCTCGTGTCCACCCGGGTCGTCCAAGGATCTGGTGGTCGGGCCCGCCAGTGCAGGCAGCAATTCCTGCAGAGAGTTCGGGTGTAGGGTTCAAGAGCTTGCCCCTCTCTGAAGAAGGAGTCAACTAGGAATCCAAACTCTGAGGCCGCTTAAAGAAATCCGAAAGGGGTGCGGTAACCAGTGGGCTACATCGCAGAGGTGTCGAACAGTCGCAAGTTCTGGCATGCATCATCCAGCATGGACTCCCGCGTTTGCATGACATGACCTGGTTGCAATTCCCTGTTTTGCTAAAGGGAATTTGCCCCGCGCTCGGTGCTTTTTTGGTTTCGGAAGCTGTGTGGTGGCAGATCAAGTCAGCAGCCTCCCCAAAGAGGGACGTGGCTGGCCTTGCATGGAAGCCTCCTGCACGAAGCATTCAGCAGACATCCTGCAACTACAAGCCTTGCTTAAGCTCTTGGTTTCTAGCCAGCTGATGTAATATAGGGGCCTTAATAATTAGAATAGGGTTTTATGGTATATTATACTATAATTATAATGTTAAGGCCCCTACATTAATACCATGTTCGAGCCAGGGGAAGTGACCTTCTGCTCCCTCATGTGATCCCAGATTTCAGTCAACCCCAAAAAGCCTAAGCATCCGCTTTTGCCCTTGGAGTGACTGTCGAGTTGGCCCCATGGGCGATATCTTCGATTCCGATTCTCCGACACATCTCTCCTCGCCAAGCGGGGGCTATGTCGCTTGGTGCGTTGTAGACTGAGCTTCCAGGCATGCTGCAGCTTGAGGGAGCACTTGGAGGTTCATGGGTAGCCACAAGTAGGGCCACAAGTAGGGTAACTATAGTTATAACCCACATTAGGGGACTTACGACCACACTTATAACTACTCATGAACCTCCAAATATGACCCCTTTTCGACCCCTTACAGGACCCCCTAATAGATCCCTTGAAGGAGCCTTATAACTACCCATGAACCTCCAAGCTTCCATTGCGCAGCCCAGGTGCGGGTCCACACCGGCCATTCACCCCAGAGCCTTTTTCTGCAGGTGGATTTCATGGACGGATCGGCTAGGCTGACACAAAAGGCATGGTACGGTTGATGAGATAAATCCTGCAGTACCCATAGTAAGGAATATACCATAATTCCCATAGTTTGGGGCCCTATAAAGGTAATTCTAAGGCTTTATTTCATCAACAGCACTTCGGGGGTTCCTTATTATAACTATGGCATAGTAGACCCCAAAACCCTATTCTAATTAGTACTTGGAGGTTCATGTTTAGTTATAAGTAAGGTTATAAGTAGGGTAACTATAATTATAACCCATATTAGGGGACATATAACTCCACCTATATCTACCCATGAACCTCCAAGTAGGGCCCCCACAGAAGGAAGCCGGAAGCCGATAAAGACACCGAGGAGGGCCGGCGCGTACGGCTCACCAGCCCACGGCGGCTTTGGATCGCCCCGCATCCCCGGCAACGATTTGGGATTCCATTGGGTTGGTGAGCCTCCAGGGAGATGTGGGTGTTGTTTGCTCATACTATTTTTTGTGGTTGGTTGGTATGTCTTTCGTGGCTAACTGTTGTTGTCATTGTCATTGTCGTTGTTATCAGTATTCGTATGCTCCTGCTCCTCCTGCTCCTCCTCGGCGACGCATTTCGTTTATTCATTCGTGTTTGTTCTTGAAATCTGGGTACCAGCCGCAGCTTCGGCGCCTGCTTGTCAGTGCTGCATACCCAGAGAGACCAATGCTACCCAATACCCGTAGCTATACATCGCTTTGGAGGTATACCCAGTATGGTAATCTTCACTTGTGTGAGAGATGTGGCTCTCAACATATGATCTCTCTTTGCCAGATTCCTGGCCGGGCGCGACGCTTTGCATGCAACAGCCCGGCGTGGTCTTTGAGGTTTCTTTGTTCCGGAGGACTTGTGGCGAAGTCCAGCCAGTAGTAGAGGAAGTTTCCTTCAGCCGTTTTTCAAAAACCAAAATTTGGGAGACTATCACCGATGATTCTGCAGGCAGGGCGGTGGTTCCCCTAGGAGACTGGACCAGGACCATTCTGTCAGCATCTTCAAATTCCGTTACACGGGTTCGTTGAAGGGATACTTCGGGTTCCCTTACGGGTTGCGTAAGCTTGAGTGGTTAACAGGGTGTATACTGCAGGGCTTTGGGCTTGCTTTCGGGGTAGTTGGACCTCAGTGCAAGGCAGAATTTGCAAGCTGCCGTGATGCGACCCACTCCCGACAGTTTCGGAACCGAGGCATGTGGAGTTTCTACCCGTTGGCAGCCATCAGGGCTCATACGTCAAGGAGAAGGCCGACGAGAAGTCATGTGCTGTTGTTGGCCACGACAAGGTAACCCCTTCTCATCGGGATGTTGCTCTTCGTCTCGACCTTTTCCGTGCAGCCACGTTCGTCGATTTATGTCGCTTCGTTGGTGCAACCTAACCTCGGATCCTGTCCAGTACAAGCTGCAACCCAAATCTCAAGCTGTCTGCAGGTCCCCATATGGGGAGTCCGCTGGCAGTGCATATGTTTGGCGCCGCTGGCCAGCATGCCTGCAAATCGCGGCAAGATGTCATGTCATAGCAGTATTGCAGCAGCGAGTCTTGACAGGGATCAACTGGATCAAGTTGCGGATTTTTTCTTCTGGCGGGGAGTACATAACTGCATCATGTTGGAGCATGGTGTTTTTTGGTGGGGAGCGCGACGCGAGCCACAGGTGTTGCCTCCTCCTCGCGGCTATGCAACCCGGTGGCAACAGAAGGGAAGAACGGCTGGAAGCCAGAGAAGCCCTTCAAAGGTCTCGCCAGACACCGACACTCTGAGCTTTACCGACAACCCCATCACCCCCATTGTAGGGGCCGTAATAATTAGAATAGGGTTGTGGGCTACTTTATATATATATATATATTTATGTTAGAAGCCCCCAAAATAGTATTGGTAATTATTTAGGCTTCTATATGAAGTTGATGTGGGTGCACAGTCCGGCAGGTCCTTTCGACCTCGAATCTAGATGGCGGCAGGTCCCGTACCAGAACATGACATGCTTCACTCCCTCAACTCCATGATCCAAAATATCCCCAAATAGTACAATCTCTGACGAAGGGATCCATTGTTTGAAGCCCCTGCATTTGCTAGCTGCCATCGTTTGCTGCTCTACATAGCCAGTGCTTCGGGTCCGTCCGGAGAACCCTAAACCCTAAACCCTAAAACCCTAAACCCTAAGCCCCTAAACCCTAAACCCTAAACCTTTCTGGAGCCCCGCGTGCCACACGCAAGGACCCTGATATTGTGGGTTCTGATGGCTCGGCGGGGAGCTGCTTGGCCTTGGCTAATTCTTGACTCCCGGTTCGTACTGCATCCCCTAAACCCTAAACCCTAAGCCCTAAACCCTAGGTAATTTCAGGGCCTCCGCAATCTAGTAACCGTCTTCATCAGGGTTTGCAGACATATCCAGAGTGTAAGGTACCCCAAAACCCTGTTCTACTCATTTGGGTACCGGTCGTATGCAGCTTGAGGAGACTTGTTGCATGGAGCTTGAGCAGCTCTTTGCTGGGTCGGCCTTTCATGGCTTCCTAGTCATGAATACATCCTCGTTCCACTCGGACGGTACACAAACACCGTTCAGGGTTCAGCTGATTTCCGAACAGGAGTATCACCAGGCCATGAAGAGGATGCCAGAAGCCCAAACCCCTGCATTCTTGATAAGCTTAGCTCGCAGAGGCCTTCCTGAATTCCAAAATGGTCCCAGGTCTCGCACCTGGTGCCGTCTCATGATGCAGATCTGGAGGCAGATGCTTTCATGCCCTCTTCGCGTTTGCGCGGTGAAGCTTCCAGTCTCAGAGACTGGTCGTGCTGGCACGTGCGCGCACGGGGCGAATGTGCGCGCGAGGCACGGGTGTGTGTGTGTGTGGGTGTGGGTGTACATGTGCATGTGTGCATGTATGTGTATGTGCATGTGCACGTGTATGTGCGCGTGTAGGTGTACACGTACGCCTAGGTGTAGGTGTAGGTGAAGGTATGTGTATAGGTGCATAATATGTGTATGTGTACGTGTACGATTGGGCGTCGGTGTAGGTGTATGTGTGTGTATGTGTATGGATATGTGGTGTGTATGTGTACGTGTACGTGTAGGTGTATGTGTA